CTCTCTCTCTCTCTCTCTCTTGAAACTGTATCCGACCCTGACCCGGCATGTCCTATCTTATAGCAAAATTCTCTGCCTTCAAAACAATAACACGTTTCTGTCGAGTCTAGTATGGGGTTCTCACTACAACTGGAATGGGGAAAAAAACCCAAAACACCAGAGACAAGGATAAGAAAATCACAGGCAGAGTTCGTGTGGGGTAACTGGGGAATACCTGCATGGTTTAGCTCAAAACAAACCCAGTGCCGATCACAGGAAGGTCAAACAGTTTAATACATTGCATTAAGTCGATACGAACCCCGCCGCTAACTGGCATGTATTAAGATTTATTGCTGAAATGGGCAGGGCCTACTAGGGCCTCAATACCGGAAAGAATCTAAAGAATGTCTAATCTAAACAGTACTTAGACCACATCTCAGACGGTGCGCAGGCAGTTTGAAGATCTTTACTTCTCTTCTAAAACTACGTGTGTCTCCTACCACCCCCACCCCCCTCCCCCCGAGAAATGTACACGGTAGCTCTAACGACCATTGTAGAGACGTGCTTCTCTGAAACCCAAACAAACAGAACAAACAGAATCGCGTAGGTCCCCAAAAAGGAAAAAGTAACGTGGCTGGTCGCCAGTTTTCAATGCTCGGAGTTATATAAGCTGGGGGACTGGCGTCCGGACGAAAAAGATAAAGAGACAAAGATAGAAACAGGGTGAAACCAGGATAGGCAAGACATAGCCTACATTGTGATTGCTTTTATACTTATGAACGTTGCTTTGCTTTTTTTCTCTTAAGAGACTGATAAATCGCTTCAGTTATTGTTATTCACCTGTTTTACCATTGTGCAGCCTGAGTAAGCTGCGTAAAGAGTAATGGGCTTTCTCATAGTTGAAATACACCGAGTAAATGTATTTCCTATATGTTTAATACACTCACACAAACACACACAAACACACACAAACACACACAAACACATGTCCTGTTAATATATCGAAACGATATGTTCATAGTCCATTATAAAGTTTAAGAATCAATTAGATCTAGAAATAATCTAGATTAGATCTAGATC